TACTGTCGTCATCGCATATGACGCTGACAAAAATCTTCAGAAGTTTCAATCGTGGGTGCAATCCAAATAAGTTCAATATTGAAATGATTTAATGAGGAAAGAAACAAGGAAGTCGAGAGAAAGCTGATTATAATGTCAAGCTATTAAAATTTCTACTTCATATGCATTCCACAGATTTGAGTTTCCCTCATTCCCATAGAGGGAGTGGTTGTCAAAGTCATGCTAATATATATTCAGATTTAATTGATTATTTTTTTCCAAGACTCAGAGACGAGATTTCTGTCATGATATCCAAAATTTGTTGTTTGGCTATTTAATTTTGCGATTGACCATGGAAACTTATCCCAGTTGCTTCTTTTTGCAACAAATAGCAAGTAGCTGAAATTATCAGAGGCATTGTAAATAAAACAGAACTCATCCGAATTTTCTTAATGAGAAGTTTAATAGTACACAATGCCAGTCTATTGGTACTGCAATTGACAGGCACTTCTTAAGCATCATTCTGGTTAAGAGGAAAAAGGGGAAAGTGAGGTTTGTCATATCATTGATTTGACCCGGTGACTACTTTTTTAACAATCTTATCGAGCTTAATAAGAAGTATGTTAGTGACACTTAATATTATGGTGTGGTGATATGGGTTTGATTTCAATTACCTCCATCACTATTTGTCAATCGTCATGTTTAAACTACCATCCCCACATCTTGATAAAAAGAAGGCATATTGTCTTGGCGTGTATTAAAGTCTGAGCGATTTTTCATAGTCAGAATCATCTCGCATCAAGACCTGTCTCATTATCTCAGAAGTTAGTTAATCAAAGATATGGATAGGATGGAAGTGACCTGAAATCACTCATATTCTACTACCGTTGGGATCGGAATTTACCCGTATAGTTTGTCGTTCACTCCACTTAGATTTTCGTCGATGAATATGGACCTCGTAACTTCTAATGCAACAGACGAGAAAGCTTTTCCAATCTCTATTTCAGACTAAATCTCCGATCATTCGCTGATAATTATTGAATTAACTTCCTTCAAAATGCTCGGAACTAAAACTATGAGTCAGAGAGCTATTCTTAAGTTCTGAAAGAAGACACACTATTTTGTTCAATCCATTCAAATTACGTTAGGTGTTCTAATTCCATTCACTTGTTGACATTTCAGTATAGTTTCGAATATTCCTAAAAGTCTTAAGGATAATTTCTTCTATTTAAACGCCGATATAAAGGAATTCAATTTTTCCAGAATTTAATTAAGGATTCTCTTTTAGAAAATCGCCCTACTTTAAAAAATAAAATCAAGTATTTCATAAACAAGAGTATTCACTTTATATAATTTCATCTGTAATTAATTTCAAGGTATAATTTCCTACTTTGAGTTAATTTCTGTTCAGAATACACCACTTCTCAGTTGTTCATACAAAATTAGAAAAGATGAGTAATTATTTACTTGCTTTATTATTTATAATTAACATTTAACTTAGTCAGGAATGAAGTGTGTTTTTTCACTAAAATTTTCCCTCCGGTAATTGCATGTTCGTGATCGTGAGCCGCTCACAATTTTAGTTAGAGTAAATGGTATATATGGAAGATCGGCGATTGGGAGGAAGAGGAGAAGGCGGATGTAGGATCGTTAATCGTCACAGTTTCTTACAAAACACGTACACAAACACCACGTTCCGCCCCATCCCACTTTATAAATAGGTGAAAATGGGGGTTAGCGTTTCCAAATGCTCTTCTGTTTCCCACCCTCTTGTTAATTACCTTCCATCTGCTTGTTAGTACTTGCTGCGTCTGGTGAAAGGCAAAGAGGGAGGAGAGGAGCGAAGAAGGTGTATTATAGCGGAGGGGGGGGGTGGGGGGTGGGGAGCAGAATTAACAAGGCTGCTCTTGACACGCAAATGCCACCCTAATTGGACGTAGACACGCACCTAAGCGCGCCTTTGGCAGTCTCGAGTTTTCTAGCCTCAGAATAACGTGCTTGGCAGGGCCATGTTCAAATCCTCTTAGTTCTTCCCACCTCCTAATGAAGATGTAGTGGCCTTATTTCTTAGCCAGGGTTGATTATTACCTTATTTTTCCCATAGTTTTACCTCATTTATCTACCTACCGTCGATTTTCTTCATAACTCTCAAGAAATTTACCATGTCATTGCCTCGTATGCGAGGTTTATGAGATTATTGATTTATTGCAATATCTTGCCAACCGCTGCGGTTTACCCTTAACTCAGCCCTCTTTTACGGAGTCGGGTATCACATTTTCCCGATTTAGAGTTTCTGTATAATGAGCTTTGATCCTAGCATCTTTTCTCATTTACTTTTCTCTCTCTCCCTCTCTGCGCGAATTCCCAGAAGATTCGTAAGAGACCACTTCAGATCAAGTTTGAATAATTCTATAGTGTATTAATTATAACTGTTTAGGTAGAAAGGCGAGATACATTTTGAGACAGGGGGTCGATAATGCTCAAATCGCCCCATCTCAAAGGGAGCTTATCACGTGATCCGACAGTAATAGTCCGGTGGCACAGTTAGAATTGAGTGTCGAGCACAACTTATTTAAGAAATAATTATTTTGCCTTATTCGTGAGCATCGAATGTTGTGGAAGCAAAACCCTAAACTTAGTACAGAAACATGAATTTTTTAATTCATTTCAATATCCTCAAAAGATTTATTAACGAAAATCTGATGGGTTACTCACAATCCATTATCCTCAACTAAGTAGAATTAAACATACATATCACTGGCTACCCTTCGGTAAACAATAAGCAAAAATGATTAGTTAAAATAGTAGGTTTGATATTTCACTTATTTAAAATAAAATTAATTGAAAGTTTTAACTTTAGTGTGCATTTTAAGGACACAATGCTTTCCAATTGGAGAATAGCCTTTTTCTGTAAAATTTAGCAAATCCTATTGGTGGTAAAATCCTCTTTCTTAAACATCTGGGTTAACAACGTGGTATTAAACATTTATTTAACTTCAAATTTCTATAATATGGACTATATTGAGCATTTAAAATTGAATAATTTTTACATTTTCAACACTTCTAACCTTCTCTCTCAATTACTGTTTTAATTTCCCTTGAATTGACTTAACTTGGAACTGAAGAAAAAAAGGCTCTTCGAGGCATCCAATTATATTAAGGTATTAATTCCATTTTACTACAGATTTAAGAGGGTTTAAGGTCACTGAAAAAGGTTTCATTCATGTAATTATGAGGCATTTGAGTTAGGCTCCCCGCTTTCATCCTTCCTCTAACGAATTATGCCACCAGATTTACCTGACTAGAGTAAATATTGGTTTCCTCTATCATTTCTCAATTAGAAGTTCTTCTTTATAATGCAAAAAGTCGTAGAGTTAACTCATTCGGTTTTTTTAGCGTGTCACTAAATACAACCCTGATTTTGGCCCTGTTAATTAATATTTATATCACGGTAGTCTAACACACTTGCGTATTTGTGTCTTCCTGTTTCTGAAGCCAATGCTGCGAGAGCTTTTTCTACTTACAAAACACGGCGTTTAGATACCAGAACATCTCCATTTTCAATAAGAAAACTTGAGTAGTCTAGTTTAGGGACACTGACTTGGCTCATCCTATCACTATCAATTGGGAGAAAAGGGTTTTTCACAGCCTCAAAATTATATTTTTAATAACATTCTTTAAAAAAATGAGGTCCAATGAAACACGCTTAATATTTACTGGTTGACAAAATTAGGTTTGGAAGCACTTGCCTTCCAGGATATAACAGATATTCTCAAATAAGAAGTTTAAGGACTAAGTTGGATGAAGATGGTTTTGGACCGAAAAGTGAGATAATAAATGAAAAAAACATTGGAACGACTGAGAACAGGCGTCATCACAGAGGAAATGAAAAGTTGGACGTTACAGGAGGTAAGAACTGTCTGTTTTGTATCCCATGGCAGACTGCTAGGTGACTACTATAAATACACATTGGCCATTTAAGATAGCAAAAATATTTGAATGAAGTTATGCGTGAGATAGAATGCTACGGTGGCTGAGTTTCCACTGATCTAATTCAAAGTTCAACTATAAATTTATTGAAATCCAATGTTATGATTATCTCTACCTCTATTATCTCTATATCATAATTGCTATCTAAAATTCTAATTTTGCTTAAATATTTTGGTTGTGGTTGACTAAATTTAATATTTTAATTTAAGTCTTCTTATTAGGTATTATCCTTTTCAACTTTCGTGCTTTTTGTTGTCTTCTTCAGTTTTATAAAAACTGTGCAACCCCACAACTTTCCACAATTTGTTATCTATCTTTAAATTATTAAATTAGTCAGCTCAGTAAAAATTGCTAGACAAATTACAGCCATTAACTTCTAAAAAGGCTTTTTTAATAAGATTTGATCATTACTCTAATAGTTGCTGAGGCGGAGTTTAGTAACAATTAAACTCGTCGGTAAAGAGTTTATTGCCAATTTATGATCCATTATACGTACAACTAACAAATCTGGCTGGAAATTGTTGCACCAACTCGACTTTATAGGAAAACGTTAGCTCTAATACGTCTGAATGCTTTAAATGTGAGAAAATGGCATTAATATGAATACTGCTTAAATGGTACTGGTGTTCTCAACATTTTAGAGAAAATAATATAATTTACGTTGTAATTCGACCAAGCCACAAACGCGCTAAAATAATTCCAACATACCCTTTGACAAATTACTAGATTTTTTTGCTTAAATACGCTGTCCTTCAAGAGCACTAGTGCAATTCCAAATATTGCTCAATTCATTAAGTTTGGTAACAGCCATAGTATGCCGTACTTATATTGGGACTGGGGTGGTAGTGTGGACATAAATACCAAATTAGGAATCTTGAGGACGATTTTAGCTAGATGAGATTTTCTTATCATTATTATTATTATTATTTCAAATGGCAGACTTTATGATATTCATCATTAGCGCATTAGTTGACTTCGGCTTTCACAAGGGGGGAGGGGGGGGGGAGAAGAACATATATAAAGGCTTTAGTTCAATAGCTGTCTTCTGGTTTCCCAGTTTCTTTTGGGGCTGGACACCGAATCAGGTGAGTCTTCTCCATTTCCTCCTGTAGATCAGATATGCAGCGTGTTGGCTGAGTGTATGCTCCTATTCTGTAAAGGTGCTTTGCCAGCCAATCATGACCGGTACGTAGCCTAAACTCAGTAACGGCTTCGATTCTTGGCCAGTCGGCTATGTCGGAGAGTGCCATTGTCCACTGTTTCTCCTTTGTTCTCATTTGCTATATCGAAGAGTGCCACTGTCCACTGTTTCTGATTCTTGGCCAGTCGGCTATGTCGGAGAGTGCCATTGTCCACTGTTTCTCCTTTGTTCAACCTTTAAGTTCGTTACACCTTGTGGCCTCCAATTCTCTCCAGATTAAGGTTTTCATTGTGTGGGAAGACATCGGCCGGTCTATTCCCTGTCAAATTGTTGTCCCCTTCTTAGTAAGTGCGTCAGCACGCTCATTGCCTATAATGCCACAGTGTCCAGGGATCCATTGTAAAACCACTGTTTTGTCTTTTTCTCTCAGTAACTGATACAGTTTTTTACATTCGTATATCTCAGCTGTTTTGAGTGGCTCTGTTTTCAATTAAATTTATTGCTGATTGTGAGTCCGAAAGAATCACTGCTTTAATAAATTTCGTATCAAGGCATCATAATTGGCCTAGTGCTATAATAATGGCCTCTATTTCTCCTTCGAAAGTGGATCTATTGTGTCCCGCCACTGCGTAGAAAGAGAAGAGTTCTGAGTAAACACCTACATCAACGTTTGCTTGGTTTTCTATGCATGATCCATCAGTGAAGACTTGGAGCCATTGATCTGCCAGAGAGTTGACACTGATTGTCTCAAGAGCCAGTGAGCCCATTTGCTCTGGAGGGGTGTTTGCTTTCCTGTAGTGGTCAAACAGTTGGGTGTAACATTGTACATCAGTGTCTGCTAATTGGTTTTTGTGTATTGAGAGGCTTTTTGGTTTTCATCAATTTGCAATGCTTTCTTCAGTTCTATGGCTTTCTGTATTAGACCAGATTGTATTTTTAGGTTTCTTGGCCTATTTTCTTAAGTTCTGAAGAATTTATCCATGGGAATGCGCAGTAGCTTCTCATACAGGATCAAGGCCTTCTCTTTGATAAGGGAAAATATTGTGGTGCTTCCTGTAACCAGGAGCATTGCATCAATGGGTGTTGACTTTATCCCTCCAGTAAATAG